ACATGGACTCCACGGGCTGAGCCGGGGGGATTTTAGGGTTTAGGGTTTAGGCGGCTAATCCTGCCTTGCGCTCATGTGAACAGCGCGTGAGTTTCACACTCCTGCAGCTAACAGCGCACAGGGTAATGTAGGGGCCTAAAGAATTACCAATACTATTCTGGTGGTTCCTTACTAGAATGGGCCCATAAACCCTATTCTAACTATTCAGTTTAATGCCCCTAAATAAGTTGTGGCCGCATCGCATGGTGCTCCTCATTGCGAACTCTCTGACCTGGGCCTACTCTGAGACTGATGGCCTTGTGAAAGGGGGGGGCATAGCTCGACAGTGGGCTGCGCCAGGAGTTCCGTGGCTTCGCTGGCGCTTCCTCCAGGGCCCCTGGACTGCAGATATACGCCGTTGTACCCTAAACCCTAAACCCTAAACCCGAAACCCAATTTAAGAAAAAAATTGTAGCGAGCCCATGCTAGGGACAGGTAGCGTGCCGATAAAGGATATGCGTCCTTCTTTGACAAGGAGAGGTCTCCTCCATAGCGGGTCGCAAGACGTTTGCAACAAAAAGATTGATTCCCCTTTGGCGACTTCCCCCGTTCTTTTCCTGCCGTGCATAACGCAACATGAACCCTAAACCCAAAATCCTGACATCGAATCTAAACGCCAACACCTCAGGCTTTGGAGGGTGGAGATCTTCTCGCCTGCACCTGTTCCGCTTCAGCTGGGAAGGCTCCGCTCTCTGACTCCAGGCGGGATGGCTTGGGGCTTCCAGGGGGGTTTGGGTTCTTGGGACTTGGGGAATGCCTTAGGCGGATCAAGGTCGTCCCTATCCCATGTCGGGTCTTTTCTTGTGTAATTACCTTACTTGGCTGCAGCCGTCACATGGTCCGTGTAGGATCCTCTCATCCAGTTGTAGATGGTGATCGAAGGTTTGGGTGTCGTAACTTTCAGCCGCAGAAGTCTTGGCACCAAGGGGACGTTCTGCGAGTTCGATCTCCCCTCCCACCGCCGTCCAGATCCGCGAACACACCTTCGCAACACCTGGGAAGCTCGCGATAAGACAAGCAACCACGCCTTGAGTCGTGTTGGGCTTTGTTTTGTCGCAGGTGTCCAACTTCTTCCGGCGAAGCCCCTTGATTGATCTTCCGGATCCTTGAACTCTTCGGGGCTGAGCGACTCTGTCACGTTCCTCTGGAGCAGTGGGTTTGGTGGTAGTGGTTGTTGTGGTGGCGGCGGCAGCAGCAGCAGGAGGAGGAGGAAAGTCTGTAGCGTGTTTTTGTCGTCGTTCTTGTCCCTCTTCTGCTTCTTGTTCCTCTTGATGCTCTTTGCTTGTTGTTCTTATTCTTCGTATGACCATTCTTCTTGTTGTAGTTCTCATTTTCGTTGTCGTTGTGGTTTTGGTTGCGTCTGTGATTGTTATTGTGATTGTGGTTGTTGTTGTTGTGGTGGTGGTGGTGGTTG